TGGCTTCAGCCCTTCTTGGTTTGAAAGATGCAGGTGAGAGTTAGTGAACTCCCTACTTCTCTGCCATCTTGGCACCCCTTGATGATTATGTCGGTCTTTCTGACTTGATTTATTTCACTCAGCATAATACCCTCTAGTTCCATCCATGTTGCTGCAAATGGCAGGATTTCATTCTTTCTCATTGCCAAGTAGTATTTCTTGGTATATATAAACCACATCTTCTTCACCCATTCTTCAGTTGATGGACATTTGGACTCTTTCCATCCTTTGGCTATTGTTGAAAGCACTGCTATATGGGGCGCCTGGGTGGCTTAGTCGGTTAAGCGTCCGACTTTTGCTTAGGCCATGATCTCGCGGTTCGTGGGTTCGAGCCCCGCGTCGGGCTCTGTGCTGACTGCCAGCTCAGAGTCTGGAGCCTGTTTCGGAGTCTGTGACCCCCTCTCTCTCTGACCCTTCCCTGCTCACTCTGTCTCTCTCTCTCTCTCTCTCTCCTAGAAATAAATAAAACATTAAAAACATTAAAAAAAAAAAAAGAAAGAAAGCACTGCTATAAATATTGGGGTACATGAGCCCCTATGCATCAGCACTCCTGTATCCTTTGCATAAATTCCCAGGAGTGCTATTAATGCTGGGTCATTGGGTAGTTCTATTTTTAATTCTTGAATTGTGCATTTGAGCTAGTTGTAGTTGGTCATATGTAAAATTTTACCTCAATTCTATTGATAAAAAACGATCTGAGCCAGCCCTCTTTTCTGTTACACACACTCCATTTGGGTTTGGCAGCACTCACGGCCACATCTCCCGCAACCGGGGGTGGCAGAGAGTGGCCCAGGTCCCTGCAGCAGGAGGGGAAGCACATGGAACAGGTAGTGAGAATATGCTGTGTCAAGGTTCTGCCAGAGGAAGCCCATGGGCCCCTGGGAGCCCAGAGGACGAGCGTCAGAATCCCACCAAGGGTGTGGGGGGCTCCCTCAAGGGGTTGAGGAAGTCCTAAAAGATAAGCAGGAGGTGGCCAGGTGACGAAAGAGCCAGGCGTGCAAGATGGCAGACGCCTGGGTACAAGCAGAGGGACAGAGCAGGAGTCTCCCGGGGGATGTGGAGGAAGCTATCAGCGTTTCAGGGTTGCTGGAGCACAAGGGTGTGGGATGGGCAGGGACGGAATGAACAGGGAGAGGCCATGGCTGGGAGCCCCCTCCCCCTCCTGCACTGTGCACACGTGAGTGCCCCATTGGTTTCTGAGCTCCAGAGAGGATAGGACCTTGTCTGATCTCTATGTCCCCTGAACCTTGCAAGTGCCAGGCACACAGAAGGGTAGGGTATCAATGAGTGTTCAACAATGACTGATGGAATGAATGAATGAATGAATAAATGAATGGCGGGGGTGGGGGAGGCTCGCCGTTCAGATCCATGTCTTCAGCCTCATAGAAACGTCCTGCAAGGGGCACAAGGGTGGCTCAGTCGGTTGAGCATCCAACTTTGGCTCTGGTCATGGCTTCATGAGTTATGAGTTCAATCCCCACGTCAGGCTTTGCACTGACAACTTGGAGCCTGGTTCAGATTCTTTTTTCTCTCTCTGCCCCTCGCCTGCTCTCTCTCTCTCTCTCTCTCTCTCTCAAAATAAAAAAAAAAAAAACACAAAGAAAAAAGTCCTGCCAACATTGGCACCAATAGTTACCCCTCCTCAGTTCTTTTGGGAACAATGCTTTCTCCTTTCTTTTTCTTTCTTTTCTTTTCTCCTCTTCTCTTCTCTTCTTTTCTTTTGTTTTTGTTCTTTTTCTTTCCTTTCTTTTCTTTTCATTATTGATTAAAAATTAGAAAGAGGGTGCATGCACAAGTCGGGGAGAGGGGCAGAGGGAGAGAGAGAGAATCTTAAGCAGTTTTTATGCTCAGCATAGAGCTCGAAATGGGGCTCAATCCTACAAACCAAGGATAATGACTGGAGCTGAAATCAAGAGGTGAACACTCAACCACCACCCAAGTACCCCTCTCCTCATTCTTTCTGTCATTGGCTAGACAGCTCTATAACCCTGGGGAGAGACACGGCCATAGGAGGGATCCAGGTTCTTTGGGACACCTTTTCAACATTACTGTGAACAGAGGCTCCAGCAGACTAGATGAACACGAAGCTAAGTCAGAAGAGACCAGAAGACTGTGGAATTCAAACTCGAGGTGTAACAAGGGGGAAGAAAATAGAATGGTGGTCAGGAGGCCAGCGTACCCCATCAGCGGCGCCTTCCCCAAGCCACACGTCTCTGGGCCTTTGAGTTTCTAGGCCTCAGGTGACCCATGTGACTGCTGTGGGAACATTCCTTCTAGTAACCTTTCCACCCTGTGGAGGTGAGACAAGCCTCTGACAGCCTCAGTGGCTCCTCCTGGGCTCCTGATCTCATATCTTACAGGCCCAGGAACCAACTTACCTGGTTTCATAAGGTGGTCCAGCTCCTGTTCAAGTCTGGGTAGGGTTGGCCCTGTTTCCTGGGTCAAGGCTTGTTCTTTAGGGTGTAGACCCGGTTTCCCATTACCGGCATCCCTCTGGAGTCCACCTTGCAGGGTCAACCACACTGGAGACAGGACACCAAGAAGCTGTGGACCTACCAGTGGCTTCTGTCGTGGAAACAAATCCGGCCCCTCACTTCCTGGAGTGGGGCGATTCTGTCGGCAAGGACCTCTTCCACCAGCCCAACACCTAACTCACGCCGAAACAGCACCCACAACAGCCACACCCGGCTCCTTAAGTGTATCCTATTCTCCGTGACCGCACTCCCTCCGACATCCCAGCCTCTCCCTGCATATGGTTCTCAAGGTGCAGACTCACTTCCGATCTACATCCTTGTCCCCACGAAACTTGGGAATTCCCTTCTGAAACATTCCATTCTGATCTCCCTGCTCAAATCTGCTCAGAGCTTAGTCATCCCTCCATGGTTAAAAACTGCCTTTGGCCATTTCTTCCATCTCTGCTCCCTCAGTGGGGGTTAGCGTCCCCTTCATCCTCTCTGGTCCCTGCCCCTTCCAAGATCTAGCTGCAATTCTACACTGCTGTCTTTCCTGATCCCAGCTCAAGAGCCATCAGGGGGCGAGGGGGCAGCTGGCTTTATGTCTCTTGCATTATCCAGACAGCTGTGCACTCCTCGGCCTTTCTCCCCATGTGCTCAGTTCAATCAGCACATCCTCTTTAGTTGCACCAGGATGAGACATTCCCAACATTCGTATTTTGACAGCAGGTACAAACTCTGTCTTCTGAACCAATCTCATGATCTTCTGTGCCAACAGATTCCTACATATGTGCCTTTTAAATTCTTAGCTGCTGGGTTTTTAATAATCCCACTGAGATTTTTCACTACTCGAAGGTGAGTGGAGATGTCACAGCATCTGAAGATTAGGGCCCCCATCCCCCGGGTTGGTTCACTGATACAACCGTGGGGTCCACCGTCCTGTGGTGGAGGTGGACACAAGGAATGCTCCACATCCACGTTCACTGTATGATGGGGAGGACAGCTCCTGTGTCGTACAGCCTTCCATGACAGAGGCTGGCCCCACCTACTCCCATCCCTGTTGGAGGATGACATTCAAAGAATACAAAGAACAGGGCCTCCTGGGTGGCTCAGTTAGTTGAATTTCAGACTCTTGATTTCAGCTCAAGTCATGATCTCATGGTTCATGAATTCAACCTAACATTGAGCTCTTTGCTGATGGCGTGGAGTTTTCTTGAGATTCCCTCCCTCTCTCTCCACCCCCTCTTGCTCTCTCTCTCTCTCTGTCTCAAAAAAAATAAATAAATAAACTAATAAAAAATTTTTCCCAACAATACAAAGAATTTGTGGTGGCTGATCTATTGCTCCTGGAAATACCCAACGCTAACCATCTGAAGGCCTAAAACCTCACACCTTGTGGACTCTCTATCTCTTTTGGGACACAGCAGAGGTTTGCAGTTCACACTTCTGGTCTGTAACAGGATGAATAAAGGGCGGTGAGAAAAATAACAGGCCGTGGAGCTAAGAATTATTCCACTTGTTGAAGATTTAGAAGCCTGAATAACAATACTACTTGTTTGGAGTAGAGCCTTAGATAATTGGACAAGGCTCCTATCCCTCCACTTGGATGGTACCTGCTTTGGCCCCAGGCCAGATTGCTACAGCTTCATGACATGGGGCCCTGGAATCCCCACTTTGTCCCTGGGGCCCCAAATCCCAACCTGTCAGTATGCATTTTCTCAGCCTAAGATGCCATCCAATATGAGGGTATTCTGGGTTCCTTGAATTCCACAAGGCACCTCTCCTGTCCCCCTCAGCTTCCTGTAGTCCTCACCAGGCACGTAAGAACAACAGGCATGTGGAAAGATATTAAGGGCTGAGCACTTAACATTGGGGAAATACCCGATGAATCCATCTCTTTAAGCCCCGTGCAGAAAATCCTTGTAATGAGTTCTGGATGACAACTAGACCTCAACACTCAGTAAAGTTTTTCTCACCTTTCCTTAGAATCTAAGGGCTGGGCTAGTGAACCCATAGGACCACCATTTATCCAACTAGACACACGATAAGGATGGCTGGAAACCTCCTCCCCACAGTGGTGGGAGAGAACTGAGACAGGGCAATTCTGGGAAGAAGAGAAGTCAGGTGGGGTCTGTAATGAGCAAAGGAAGAGAATCACCATGAGTCCTTGGCAGGGAAGGGAAGGCCTTGACCCGCTTGGCATTCCATGAGGGAAGGACAGAGGAGACACTCTGGGGCATTCAAGACACAGCCTTCCACCCACTAGAGAAACAAAGCCATCTATCTCTCAACCCCAGGTTCTGGACACTGGCTGAGGAACACTCCAGTGCTCAGTCTAAATGCAGATGTGAACAAGGCCCCCTTGGGTGCCCCAGTGGGACCTGCAGGGTGCTGAGGTCTGAGGAAAAAGTAACGGAGGACTTGCTCCGTGAGAGCCCGGAAGACAAGCCCATGGGGAAGGTAGTCAGGCCTCCAGAGCCCATGCAATTTGATGAATACAACAGAGGCCCGCTGTGTCAGCCCACATTTACTGAAGCAGCTTATAGAACAGAAGACTGGGAGAACCACACAGATCTGAAATACCCACACCTGGCCCTGCTCCCTGCCCTACTCGGAGGTCACGGGTCAGGCCTTCTTCAGACGTTCATGAGTCTGGATGAGCTCCTCCAACTTGCTCTCCAGAAACTGGGCCTGCATCCTGAAGTCTTCAGCTGACTCTGCCTTTGCCCCCTCATACAAGTGCTTTGATTCTTCCACAATGTTGGCCACATCCATCACAAGGAAGATGCCTGTGGTGGCTGCTCCCATGATCCTGGCTCTTTTGGTCATTGCCAGAGCAGTGCCTCCAAACGCTTTCTGCACCTGCTTGCCACTCCGAACTGAGACTCTCCCAGCTGTCATGAGGCGCTTGGCGCGGGCCAATAAGCGAGGATTGGCTTTGGCCAGCTTGATGGCACGAACATGCTTTCCAACGTTTTGCACGACTTCAATGCAGTTCTTTGTTAAGGAAACAATTTGGGGTATTTTCATACACATAGCCTTTGAAAATCCCTCCTCTTTGTCACTGCCAGCCGATGTCAGCTGATTGCCTTTAGCTTTCAGTGACGATGTTTTTGTGTGCTCCACGATGCTGCTGGACACGCTAGTGACAGCGGATGCTGTTCCCAGCACCATCCCAGTTGCACAGAGTGTCAGACTGACCCCTGCTGTCACAGGGGCCAGAGCCAGGCCCAGCATGGACAGGACACCTGATGTGGCTCCAGTGGAGCTGGCCACGATGTTGGTGACGGTGCAGTTCCTGTGTACCTTGTCAGCCTCGTCCGCAAGCTCACGGAGCTTTCGTATTTGCCCCTCAAGCTCCTCTTTCAACCAGGAAAACTCTTTCAAAAAGCGTTCCCTCTCGAGGGGGTCACTCTGGAGCCTGTCCATGTCCTCCATATACATGTCTTCTTCTAGCTTTCTCAGATGTTCACGGAGCACCTCTGCCTCCTCCCTGCAACAGTGAAGGTCAAGTGATTAAGGAAAGCTTATCGATCACATGGGTTTGAATTGTTCTCTCCTACATCAAGAATAGGACTTGTACTATAATTCAAATGGACAAGATTCTGACAGAAGCAAAGACTGTTTCTTGCAATGTTAAACACATTTTGTACCTCTCCTGTGCTCTGTAATACACATTCAGTCAGGGAATAAATAAGTAGTCATCTTAAGATGCTCTTAATTGGGGGGCGCCTGGGTGGCTCAGTCGGTGAAGCGTCTGACTTCGGCTCAGGTCATGATCTCACAGTCCATGAGTTCGAGCCCCGCGCCGGGCTCTGTGCTGATGGTTCAGAGCCTGGAGTCTGCTTCAGATTCTGTGTCTCCCTCTCTCTCTGCCTCTCCCTTTTTCACACTCTCTCAGAAATAAATAAATAAATATGGGGCGCCTGGGTGGCTTAGTCGGTTAAGCGTCCGACTTTCGCTTAGGTCATGATCTCGCAGTCCATCGGTTCGAGCCCCGCATCAGGCTCTGTGCTGACTGCCAGCTCAGAGCCTGGAGGCTGTTTCAGATTCTGTGACTCTCTCTCCTCTGACCCTCCCCTGCTCACGCTGTCTCTCTCTCTCCTAGAAATAAATAAAAACATTTTTAAAATAATAAATAAATAAATAAATAAATTGCTCTTAATTGGTAGGTGTTTCGTTGAAGTGTATTTATGTATTTATTTTGAGGGGCAAGGGAGAAGGAGAGCATAGAGACAGGGAGAGGAACGATCCCAAGAAGGCTCTGTGCTGTTGAGATCATGACCTGAGCCTAAATCAAGAGTCAGATGCTTACCTGACTGAGCCGCCCTGGTGCCCCAAGTGGTACGTATTCAATAAAGAGGGCTTCTCACTCAAGGGCAGCTCAACACTATGGGTACCACAGTGTTTGTAGATGAACAGAGGGAAGTGGGCCTAGAGCAGAAAAACCTTCCTTTGGAGAATCTTAGTGTGTAGGGAAGGATCAACCTTACCCACAGAGAGGTCTGCCCTTTGCCCTTGGCTCCTGGGAAGTGATCTCTAGGCCCCTGCCTACAATGGGAAGGGTCAGAGAATCATAAGACTGTCTTCCTTTGCCTGGGCCTTTGGCCTGACATCACTTGACAACACGATGTATGATGGGGACTTTGGGTCATGTGCTATCGGTTCTGACCTACGGAGGGACTAGAAACTAAAGGCATGAGTGTGACCTCAAGGAGGGGCTGGAGACCACACACCGGTCAGCCATGCAGAACATGTCACTGGGTCCCAATAAAACTCTATACACCAAGGCTGGGGTTGAAAAAGACTCTTTTCTTGACCAAACTTTAGTCAGGCTCTGCTAGACCCTCTTTCTGACCAGGTGCAGTCCATGTGTACCTTGTCGACCTTGGCTTTCTGTGTTCTGTCCATGACAGCCTATAGTGCCCAGTCTTAGCAAGAACCCTGTTAGGTTAGTTTAATGAGAATCTTCCCACTCTTCATATCTGATCACCATTGATATCTGATCAAATCCCACCTTTGAGGTAGAAGTTCTTTTTTTTATTTTTTTTTTAGGTTTATTTCTTTATTTTGAGAGAGAAAAGAGAACAGGAGCAGGGGAGTGGGAGAGCGAAATGAAGAGAGAATCCAAATCAGGGTCCACG